GATTTAAGCTTTGGAAAAAACGCATCATTCCTTCCTTACCAACAAGTTTGAGTTCTCACTTTTATTATCTCTTTGTCATTTATTTGATGTAATCTCTCATACGGCAAAATATGATGAATTTGTAGTGGGTTTAAATTTCGTGCATATTGACTTTGTTGCATCCATCCAATGTCTATATCTCAAGATCACTGTTGTGGATCTCACCCACAATGCCTCTGCGCATTTTGCATTATGTAATTCAACTGGACAAGGGTTTGCTGTTACATTTATAAAATACTTTATGCAAATATTTTTAGAAGTCGTCAAAGGAACTAACAGCAATATTAGGAAGCAACTGATTATGAATATTTTATTTTGTTTATCCAGAACTCAGGGTGAAATAGAATACTGTACACAAGGAGAGTCGCATCGTATCATCCAAAGATGAAAAACTCGTATGCCATATTCCTTTACGGTTAGAGGTGCTCACAGTCTGTGTTTTTGAATGCGTTTGATTTTGTGTAAAGAAAAACATGCTCGACATTGCAACGCATACCTCTTGTACAGGACTTGTATTTAACACGTGTCATGGGGACCTCCAACTAACAACATTGTCAGCCCCCTCACAAGCAATTCAAGGGTAAACCCCACCACCAACCGATGGTTGATTACAAAGCTGATTTGCAGAATTTGGGGATGAATTGCAGTTGGTCACAATCCTTTTACAGTGGTTTGACCAATCATGGCCCTTAATGCTAATGTGCATAAAAGGCAATAATTGGTTACTTTCAGTTAAATCAAAACCTGTAAAAGAAGTCTGTTAGACACTTAGATGTACATTTGTACCGTACACAAATGTAGCTGATGAAATTCTTGTAGTGTCTTGTTAACAAGAATATTTTGGCGATTGTAGGATACATCCTTTGAGAGAAAGAGAGTAAATTTACTACAGTCTCCCGTCACCTACGCATTAAATCCACCCTGTTGACTGTTAAGACTTGCAATGCAATTGTCTGTATTTACTAGTAGAAACAGTTGTATATTTCTAATTGTGAATCAAATCATTATTACTCATAGTAGTGAACAGACTCTCATTGATCATAGTTTCTGGGTTAGATTAATGGCTAAGAGGTTCTTTGAGATGGATACTTTTTTTTTTTGCGACTCGCATTCTGGTGCTCCTGGTGGATTTAAATGGAAAATCTAGGCCGAAAACATAATGCTCCCAGATGAACAGATGAATGCAATTTACAGTATTTTTTTATATCGCTTTTCATTTTCTGAATGTACATCTTCTCATCTGTATGTTAGTTATGGATGAAATAATTTTCCTAAAAAAAAATTGGTTGTCATATTTACTCATAATTCCTTGCTGGAAAATCAAAATGTATTGAGCAAGTGATACAATAAAAAAGCTGGAGATTGAATTTGTTGAGTTCTTGTCTTCTGGGAGCATCAAGTCTGGACTTGCCTTTTAAGTATGACTCAATCTTATTTAAATATCTGTAAAGTGTTCCTTTGATGATGCACATTAAGTTTATTCAGCACTCTGTATTCTCTACATCTGATGGTGTAATCCAGATGTCTAGGATTGTCTTTTTATTGTTTTTCTCTGAAATGTGGGGAAATAAATAATAAATTAACAGATGATATTGTGTGTATGAGTTTGTCACCACTTTATCTTGCTCTACTGACCTATAGTATATGTAGTTTTGTAGGAAACCTCTTGTATCTCCATTGAAGGAACCAATGGTAATGGGGCTCTACAACTGACAAAATGCCTGTTCACTGATTTTGACTGTATTCTCAAAAAATTGCCCCAAACTAAAGACAGGTTGTGCTCCGCTTCCTATGTTTGATATGAGACATGTAAAACGCTTGTAAAATAGATTATTTATTCACATTGAATTGCATCAAGTGGTGTACCACCTTGCTTGGTGTGACATTTGTATAAATTCAGCTCGCCTATTTGTAAAATCTGTCAATCTTCTTAATGGCAAATAATCAAACATGTTGGTTTTCTTTAGAAGTGCTGAATGACATACTTCAATGCTGGCAATCAAATGTTCTATAATTTTAATTACAAAATGTATAAATTCACGGCATTTTAATTCTCGAGTAGCTTTCATGAATGATGTGTTCTATTCTCGTGTTCTTGTGTCCTGGTTTAAGGTAAAGGTGAAGGCTTGTGAAACGCTTGGTGATAAAATTATTGATAAGTTATAAGATACTTTTTTCTTGTTTTTGTCTTGAGATAACTATCGTATATAGTTTTTAAGATGTATGGAAGTTGGGCTAGAAATAAAAAAAAATATTAAGACACAAAGGTAAGTGCAGAAATGGAGATATTTCATCTGCTGATTATGTGAACCAGATGTTGGTACTATAAAGATCTAGTACTAAGCAAGGTAACCATGCATGCTCTTTTCCACGTTATGTAATGTCAAAAGTAGTCTGTTTTATTTTACACCCAAAATTTTGCTTTGATTTATTTCTATACTATTTGGAACTTGTATGCAATTTGTGTTCAAGTAATCACTAGGTTAATGTTATTCTGTAAGGCACATTAAGATTAATATGGAACATGTTATTATACAAGTACATGTAATGCATACCCCAGTAGTTATTCATCATTGAGTCCGGTATTAAACAGTGTGATAAACATTTAATGATTAGACTTAATTTTAATATGTTGTATAAATACATTTTTCCCAACAAACTTTGACAAGTGTTTTACAAGACAATTGTGAGAGTACTTTCCCACTGATATTTGCTGAGCTGAATGACATACTTCAATGCTGGCAATCAAACTTACTATAATTTGAATTACTCTCAGCCACTATTGAAATTTATAAATATATAAATTTTTGCCAGAGCACATGTAGAACAGGATGTGAATGCATTGCATTAAGAATTAGAGAAGAAACCTGCATAGGCATTGAATTCACAAACCTTCACAACCATGATTATGGCTCAATGGAAGTGTATCCGCATAAGAAATTTTGAATGGAATTGCAAAAATAAATTACTCTAAATCATCCATGAGCAAAGCAACACCTAGTTGAAACCACAGTTCCTCAACTAGGGACTGTGTTCAAAAAAAGATGAATCCCATTACTGAGAATACTTTATTTTCGCTTGGAATTTATTTTCGCTGAAAGGATGATTCTGTGAAAATAAAAGCCAGCGAATATACTTTTTTTCCTATATTTCACTCATTAAACTCATCAAAAATCAGTGAAAATAAATTCCATACAAAACGCCCAAAAAGCCTTTTCAGCAAAAATAAAGTATTCCACAGTATGTCTTTGTACCTACTTTTACCGGTAACTAAATCGGCCATTTTGAATCAAATCACGAAACAACATAATGTGTATTAATAACCCATTATGGGCGATGTTGGATGGACGAGCAGAAGTCACAAGTCCCCAATTCAGTTTTCTTCTGACAGAGACTGAAAACCATATTCTCAGGTCCCTCTCCAATCTATAAAACCTCAGCCCCAGACATTTTATCGAAAACCCCCTCTGCCTGCCTGCCTGCCTGCCTGCCTGCCTGTGTGTTTGCCAGTCCACAGATTTCAATGAAACTCTGCACATAGACATATGTAGACTTAATCTGCATTTTGAGGATTGAAATCGATGAATAATAATTGTTCTAATTTGCATCACAAATTTAAGGTGAACCAGGGATTAAAGAGCAATAGTCGAAGCCTGCACATGTGCGACATGTGTTGATAAACATTGATTTTCCCACAATCCAATGCGCGAGGTTTGACCTGGGCGCCACTTGCACTAATTACTGCCGATGACTCCTTTGATACCTTCCAATCACCTAAAAAATACATAATTAAAGCTTGGTAACGTCTTGGTTTGTCTTGGTTTGCCATCTTTGTTTATTTGAGACCCATATATCTCGCGCATGCGTGGCGCAAGACTACTGCCCTTTAATCATAAAGGAAGTAATTCCCAAATGACATTCAATGCGGATTTGCCTTGAACCAGTGAACAATTGCCTTGTAGGTCAAACGTAACCAATGGCGACCACAATTTATCATCTCATATTTATAAAACAAAAAAAATGTTTACCGTAACATATTTCAGATTATATGTATTCGTAACAGATGGTTGACCTGAACTGATCTGCTGTAGTCAAATATCAAATTAAAATTCTCTCTTTGTATGGTAATTTGTATTTGTTCAAAAACTGGAAGATATCTGAGTTGTATGCCTTATGCACACAAAATATGTAAGCAATTGCCACCGGAGTTATAAAAAATGGGGAAAAAATTACGTAAAATATTGAATAGGAGTCATGTATATGATCTATTACTCTAAGATTGAATCTTAACGTGTACTACGTACAAATCAACAGTTTCCAGAATGTAGTTGTCGCGTATTCTTACATTCATTCGTTTGCAGGGCTATAAATTAATCACGATATTGTTTAATAACTAATGCAAATCAATTATAACACTTTTTTAATAATAATAATAACTTTATTACACTACTGTGCAATCAGAGGGCGCAGTATGGTAAATAAAATAAAATACAAATCATAAAAAAAAATACAGCAGCTAAATAACCTATACATGTACTATGATAAGATAAAAATATAATTAAGAAATGTAAGAAGCCTAATTGGACAAACATTTAATGTTAATTACGGGATTCGTCCACGGAGAAGGTGATAGTTTCCATATACTTGATTTCTGTTTTGCTTTATTTAGCAACTTTGCTCGGGATATAAAGCATGTGATTATTTTAATAAGGAATTGTCTGCTTTATTTAGTTTATTTTTAATTCCTATTTCTTTATTATAAAATTCACAATCTAGGATAAAATGATGTTCATCCTCAACTGAATTTTAAAATAGACCGGAGATTTGTCTGAAAAATCCATCACCACATACATCGTAACCATGTGACACAATATGGGGGGGGGGGGGCACACATCTGTGCATATTTCCATACGTAACTTTCCTTGTTTTATAGCGCCCCCTATGTTGGCACTTTTCTAAACTCAAAAGATGGCTGCGCCCACGTCCAGCATGCGATCTTCGTGGAGAAGATATTTACTTGTACTAGCCCAGGAACACTTGGAATTCCGGATACCCGTAAGTGTTATTCATTCATGCTTAAGAACTTTCTGATACTTGAAAAAAACAATGCGATTATTATACTTTGGATAAAATAACATGCATCAAAGAGTATCACTCGAGCGACAACAGAAACAGCAGGTTGCTTGCCCGGCTTGTACGTAACAATTTACAAGACCCTGTTTGCCAATGTACACAGTTCGGGTAAGTGTTATTTTTGTTAGAGGCAACTGTGATCAAGTCGTACCCTGACATAAAAGGAATTTTTGCAATTTGCTTTGCCCTGCGTGCATGTTATATTTATGTTAAGACCACACTGCCATAATTACACATCAAAACTTGGCCACACACTGAACCAAAAACTGAAATCAACAACAACAACAAAATGTCGTTCATGTACCTAACTTGAGGACGAAGTTCATTTTAGTACTCAATGTGAATTAATAATATGCATTCCAAATATGGCCCAAAAAATGGTAACAGTCCCCCCCCCACCCATATCTCTAATCCTTACCATGCCCCTCCAGTGCCCCCCTTTAATTGTATTCGGTATAATAATACAAATCACAGTCACTCAACAGGAGGGACTTTGTAAGTAAGTAAAGTAAAGTAACTTTATTGACATTGTACCCTCTTTAAAGGGGCACCTTCCAGTTAAGCCTAATCTCACAACAAATTTACTTTCCGGATTAAAATAACAATAGATAACAAAAGATAGATTAACATTGTAAACAACATAAACAATAGTGTCCCATGATTCTTTAGTGCAATCCATGGGATTGAGCGGGTCCCCTTTAAGGTATTAAATTGATTACAATAAAGTAAATATGTTTTAGAAAAACATAAACAATTAAAAATAAATGATCAGATAAAGGAAAGTAAAATACAGTAATTATTAAAATAGCTAAATAGTAGAAAAAAAATTAAAATCACTACAAGTATCGGAAATAAATATGTAAAATGTAAATATTATGAGGCAGCTGGTATAGTAAGTTTCATGTTTTCTTCTCTCAAGTTAAAGCACTGATAAATGAATTTGCCAAGTTTTTCTAGGATTTTTTATTAAACAAATTTGATCAATGTTTGCGTTGCCAGTTTTTTGGAAAAATTCATTTCTGATGTTATTGTAGCATGACCAATGAAGAAGAAAATGTTCTTCATCTTCAATTTGTTGAAGATGTTGCAAACCGGGCATTTCCTTTCTGCTACATTTATGTTTTGATGCCTTCCAGTCTCAATCTTAAGAGTGTGTGCACTAATTCTGAGTTTTGTCATGGCTGATCTGTGGTATGCACGTAAAATGATCTACAGAGGCATATACAATTACATTGGGGGCTGGAGTATTGGAGTTAGGAATGAGGGAGCCTTGTTAGGTTCCTATAACTGACCTATCCTTATTTTTTACCGTCCGATCCGAAACCTTTTTGAGAAAATGTCACAAAATTGTGTCAGGCTTTGAATATGATTTTATAGAAATTCAAAACTTTGCAAAACTGAGTAAATGTAAACTTTAAACATGATTAATGACACTTGTAGCTACATAAACAGTTATTATATATTAGAAAAAAGTTTTAGTTGTAAAATATATTGAAAACTAAGGATGTTATCAAATTTTTTGACACATGTTAATCAAAATGAATTTGTTATATTTTATAGAAACCATAAGTGTATCTAATTATTCTCTGACAATTTCATTGGTCAAAAGTTAACAACCCACGTTGTTTTAATGACCTTATCTGCACATTCCATGTTTTAAATAATTGTTAAATCAAACAGTCAAGTATTAAATATTTTAGAACATCTTTAGATGCGTATCTTTCACCTATAAAACCATCAGTCACAGAAAATGTCATGACTATTTAAAAAAAATGCAGTGACTCCACAATTAACTAATATGCAAATTAGTCTAAATCTCTGTTTAAATTCTGACATCAAAATGATGTATCATACGAGTACTACTCAGCAGACATTCAATCAGATTTCTTCACTTTTTTTACTCATATTGTACAATAAATGTAGATGTAATATATATAAACATAACAGTCATAGCAACTGTTGTTAAGTTGCACATCCACCATCTGAATGCAAAAATATAAATTTAAAAGAAAAAAAAGTTATCCAAAATCGTTGTCCATTTTAATTTTTTCATAGTACTGTAAAATCTGTATTAGAAACCGCGGCTTCTATTAAAATGGTACAATCCAATAGAGGGGATGCGGCTTCTATTAGAGCATCTACACATATGAGAAATGATGATTTTTTGGTTCCCAATTGTTTAAAAAGAATGGGTGCGACTTCTATTAGGGATGCGGCTTCTAATACAGATTTTACGGTAATCATTTGATTCTTGTATAAAGGATTTAATTACTCAGTCAGGACCACATGAAGATGTATCAAACGAAGCATTGATTTTTAATTAGTGTAAAAAATGAGCTTACATAAAAGTTTGATATGGTTTAAAATAATTCTTCTATGAAAATTATTAGCGTAAATTTTACTTCTTGAAAACCTCTACTACCGGTACATTCTTAATCCAAACGATTGTTGACAATATTTCAAGACAGACAATAATGGTGTACATATAATGGGAGGGCCGTTCAAATTACATTTCCGTGACGTCCCAGGGATTTCGGAATCATACAGTAACATTTAAATTTGTTTTCAGGAGCTCAAGTCAATTCTGAGTCTGTTGAATATTTGTGCAGAAATTGAAGAGAAAACTGATGAATTGGTGGGTAACTATGGTAACAAAACATTTAATACAACAAAGTGAAAGTGGATTATTGAATGGAAGTTTATGCAGGGTTTTATCATTGCATAACTGGACTTCAGTCGGGATGATTAGATTTTGATTTACTATAAATAAACAATAATGGGAGTATCATGTAGTTGGTGACATATTTGCAAATTGATTGTGTACAAATATAAACATTTGAGATCACTTGTGGTTCTCAAGATATTAAGCTTAAGTCCACTACAAGTAAGGCAGCCATTTTGGTTCACATTTGAATAAAGGCAGCCATATCATTTTCTTCTCATAGATTTTTTAATCCTCCCTACATATATGTTTTGTAATTGTTACATCTAAATAATTGTTCCATTTACAGAGTCCTTTTATTGTGTTAAATCTACCGAATGAGAAAGCGGGCCAAATGCTCATGGAAAGGACAGTTCTTGGAAAATCTTTGTTAGAACTTTGGGGTTTTGGTAAAACTTACAACGAGTTATACGACTCGCTACGAAAATACCCAAGTGAGTTAATGGACGCTTACTGTAAAGAAGATACAACGTTTAAAATTCGAGTAAATGCTTTTAATAAAACTATGAAACAACCTCGACAACATGAACTGATTGAGGTAGGTATGCTTCCAAAATCCTGTTAATTCCCTTGCTAATTTAATAAAATCTTTTGGACCAGGCTTTGATAGGTCTGCTCATGTCACATTCGAAAACGTACATGGCCAGCGGGGCTTACATACTAATTTGCATTTCAAATGTGCTAATACCGGTATGTCATTTACGTAAAAATTTGCATATTTACATGTTTAAGTAAATTGTTATTAATTTTGTTTTTTCTGTCAAAATTTTTCTTTATTTTGGCTTGAAAATTGATTAAAATTTAGAACAAAATAAATATATAAATATTTACCTACAAAATACAGAGTTGAAGATTTGCTGTACTGTTGTTTTGCTAATACTTTGATAAGTAAGTTGATTCTATTTTGTTCTTCGCAATTTTTCACTTTTGTTTTCGGGTTTCAATGAAATAATGCCAACTGGCAACCATTTTGTCATTTTTGTTTCAATGAAATAAAACCATGGCAACCATTTTGTACATATATACATATATAAACGTACACAAACCATAAATTTTGTGTCCTGGATCATTAATTTATGACAATGGACATGCCTCTATCATTTACATATTTAGTGGCATATGATACTAATAGAGAAAAATATGATAACCATCTTAAATTTTAAAGTACAACATTTTTAAGTCTTTCACAAAATTCAACAACATGATAGTATAATGCCATGAGAGGAAAAACATGGAAGCTGATCTGTACCATTTATTAAAAAATGATGAATCAGAAGATAACTGAATTGGTAAGGTTCCTTATTAAAGTAGTAGCTAAAGTATTCAAGGTTTCTGTTTTGACTTTCACATAGCCAACACAGGTAATAACTGAAAGTTGCATTCCCGCTTTGCAAATATGTGAGGTAGCCTCCACCCTCCTCTTACAAAAAATAACAATAGACACTCACAGAATTAGAAGGCTGTGTTTGTTCTTTAAGGACAGTTATATTGTAGGTATGCTTGTCTGAGAGTAATACTGTGGAATACTTTATTTTCGTTGGAATTAATTTTCGCTGAAAAGGCTTTTTTGGCGTTTTGTATGGAATTTATTTTCACTGATTTTTGATGAGCTGAATGTTAAATATAGGAAAAAAGTATATTCGCTGAATTTTATTTTCACGGAATCATCCCTTCAGCGAAGATAGCGAAAATAAATTCCAAGCGAAAATAAAGTATTCTACAGTACATTCCAGTACTTTATAAATGAGATGGAAAGTGAGCCAGGATATCTACTTTTAATTTATCACATATTCTAGCTGAAACAGTATCATTTTACCATATTTTATGTTTCAAGCTTGTTCTGGAAGTGATGTTTCACATAGCTGCAAAGTGGGAATTCATTTTTAATTTTAGGATATTCTTGTGTCAAAAGTATGCTAGCTGCAAGTATTCTAAAGATTAAGAGGGGGTGCGGAAATTGACGCTAAAGATCTGTAAATCTTCTGATTAAAATGTTCAATTGCAGGAAGTCACAGAAGTCGTACCATTCCGAGGGAAAGTTTGTTTGAGTAAACCAGAACATACATTTCATTTTCTTGAGTATTACGGTACCGATCCAAACAACGCTCCGACAGCACCATATTGTATGTACTTTGGACGATGGGTGAGTATACTGCTAGCTGACTTGAAACAACATCAAACCTCAGTATGTCTCAGTACATTCTTTCATGCTTGGTGTACATAATTCCATGACTCTTATTGTTGTGTTGCTATGGTTTCCTCTTACTTGACTGAACAAACATTTTAATATACCGTAATAGTAATTTTATACTTGCAAGTCTGCACCAGTAAGGTTGAAGTGACAATCATCTGACTTGTTCTGTTTATTGAACATCATTTTGTTTTCATTTACCACTCAGATTAATGATGGTAGGCGAGATCTAATACACAAATATTCGATTAAAAATCGTCATTTTATCGGCAATACGAGTATGGCTGCTGATTTATCTCTTATTATGGCGAATCAGGCAAAAGTAACATCAAGTTCATTAGTATTGGACCCATTTGTAGGTACAGGTAAGTTGTTACCATGACGATAACAGACCCCTTTCAAGTATGTCCTTTAGAGCACTACATGACTGTAGCCTATCAAGATGGCAAAGTATTTGACCTTTAGCCCAGGGCTGCCAACTAACCTTTTGGCTGAAGGTGAATAGACGGCGCCCTCCTGAGAAACTATACATGATTGATAATAAAAGTAATGAGAATGAAGTTAGTGTTACATTTCTACCATCATATTCAGATGATTCATAAACTGACAACATTTCCCATCTCTCCAATTCACTTTGATATTAAAATGATTAGTTATTTGTAATATTTGAAAAAGTTTTAGGTAAATCTGAAGAATGATTCATTCTGCCTGATTGATTTGTTTTTGTCTCAGTGATGTCGCTACATCTAAGTATGCAGCATGATCATTTTAACATTTTTAGCCCTAAAGTTGACTTTTATCCTTTCCTAAAAAATAAATCTGTTATATTTTTTCATATTTTTGAAAAAAGTTCCATATTTTTGAAAAAGTTTTGATTAATATCTGTAACTAAAATCTGGTTGAAATTGTAGAAAAAATAGTTTATAATGTAGCATCTGAATTTTGGCGGGACAATAATGGAGTTCAATAAGTAAAAAACACAATACCGTAAAAACCCGCAAATAAGCGCCACCCTCAATTAAGAGCCACTCAGTGAAAATTTGTTACATTTGACCCTCCATTAAGAGCCACCAAGAGTTGAGTGGTTTTGTCAATAAGAACCCTGAAATAAGCGCCAGCCGCCCGGTTGTTTACAATCAGGCAGACACAAGCTTGTTGTGCCTCACTTCCACCCTGCATTGTTTATTGCACCACAGAAGGTGTGAGACAAATAAAGATTATCCCCATAACTTGCCTGACGTCCTGTGTAATTGAGA